GTCAGCAAGTGGCCATACGGTCGGGGACATCTCAAACGACCCATCTGTAATTCTCTAACTAGCAACCAAAATTTGCGAACTACTTCAGAGCACAGCTGTGATAGAACTGAAACAGTTGTAAAACGCGGGATCTCAACTCTTCAGATGGAAGAAGTGACACTATATCACCTTATTTTTTAAATATTTATAATTTTAAATGAAGTCCAACAATCGGTGGAGGCATCGTTACAGGAAGAAAGTCATAATGTTGAAGAAGCTCTAACTTCTAACAAACAGGGGCAAATACCAAAACAACGTTATAAAAGACAGGAAAACCCATGCTAATCCCTGCAGTTTTAGGGAAAAGCACGAACACACAACATGCGGCAAGCATATCAAAGAAGCTGTGTAGATGCGAGAAAAATAAAAATAAATCAACAGTGAAAACTAATATGATATAACAACAACTGTGAGTAAATAATTTTCGTTTAATTTCTTAGAATACACCATTACTGCACGTAAAAAATCACAGTATGTAATAAAGAATAAACAAGCATCATCTTATTTAATCAGTGCAGTGGCTGAGAATAAAATACAAGCATATGAAACACGGTAACTGGGATAAAATAAAACGGATAAAATTCGACAATTAATTTCTTACAATAGGTAAAAGTTCGCGTCATACCTTTCACCTTGTGACGGCACACCGGTTGCGGAACACTGATCTAGACAATCGGCTCAAAGATGGCGAAAGTTGTCAGCTTTACGCGCCGACCGCGCTTTACTCCCCAGGAAAATTATTTAATTAATTCCTGGTAGTCATTTCTGTTAAGAGGCTGAGTCGACCCCAGGGCCATAGTGCGGCCGGAAGGAATAGGTCAATTGAAAAAAATCCAATGACCTCATCGGAACTTGAGCCCGCGACCTTCCGACTTGTAGCATAGTGCCTCAACCAACTACGCTATCGCGTTCACTGTGAAGTAGAGAAAATCTTTTACTCCTCCCGTGAATCGAACCGCGGCCGTCCAGGCCGTAGCTCGTATCAGCTATCCTGGCTACTGATAATATTCCCCCCCCCCATTGGCGCTACAGCCCTCATTTGGGCCTAGGCCTACCTCCATGAAACTCTCCGTTTCACTTCGGTTTACTAGATCTTACACATACGGTAGGACTCCTTGGGCGGGTGATCAGCTCGTCGCAAGGCCTCTACCTGTAGACGAACACAGAAAAACGCACACAAACATCCATGCCCTGAGTGGGATTCGAACCCACGATCCCGGCTTCCGAGCAAGCGAAGACAGTGCATGCCTTAGACCGCTCGGCTACCGTGATCGGCACTGATAATATTAGTGAGAGAAAATTTCAGGAAATGCTGGTTGTGCAGTTTGTTAACACCCTGTCTGTTTCCCCAAATGCTCGATGATGAGAATTATGTCGCACATGTCTGGGCATGAATATCGAAATTTGTGCAGAGCGGGCGGAAGAACATAAATTGTAGTTAAGTAAATTATAGCTGTCCGAAGTGTAGGCATAGTGCATTTTATCTATTTGTTTTATTCGTGGAGTGAGAGGAGTCCACCTGGTACACACACCACTACTGGGCCTATTGTATCAGCACCGGATGTCACTGATGACGATATGTGAGCGTGTAGCAGTCGGTGGAATGGGAATTGGCGGGGGAAATTCGGAGAACACCTGCCCCCTGTGCAAGTTTCTCTATCGCAAATCTCACACTGACATGCGACTGAACACAGGCTGCTGAGGTGGGAAGCCGGAGACTAGCCGCCTAAGCAATGGCAGGGCCCAATGTAATCCTAAAATGAATAAAATAAGTGATCCATTTCGGATGTAACAGCGAACTTCTTGTTTACACTGGTAATCTGTTTTCTTACCTCTTTCTTTCTCCCTTTCCTTCTTACGGGTCTAGAGCCGACTGTATTATCAAGTGAAACGAACAAACTCCGTGGTCTGTAGTCCGCACGCGAACTATACCGACCGAGCGACCACTAGTTGTCGGCAAAGTTAGTGCCAACATTTGCGGATAAAGGATG